CCCGGGCAGCGGCAGCGGCGCGTTCCGGGCGCCGAGGTTGCTGCGGCCGCGGGTTCGCGGCGCCCCAGGTACGTGCGGGGCTCCCGGGGCGGCCCCGCTGCACCGCGCGGTGAAGGGCTCGGCCGTGGCTCCGCTCGGTCCCGCGGCGCGTTGCGGGCCGGCTGCGGAGCCCTGGGGCAAAGGCTGCTGTCCTGTCCCCGAAACTGGCCGAAACTTGAGTCGTTCACTCAAGAAAGGGGCTCAAAYGCCCTCCTCGCCTCTCTGCCTCGCTAGGAAATGCCTCTCTAGCAGCAGACCGGGCTTAACGCTCTTCCCTCGACTGCCAAGGAGATAAACCCTGCTTGAAAGGCAAAACCCTTGCATTGGACTTGGGCGTTTGGCTTGCATTGCCTTTAGGATGGAGGGCTAAGTGCTGTGTTCTGTGTTGCTCACCCTTAATYGTGCAGAAATATTTATTATTTTTAATCATTGGGTCAAAGTTTCTGCTTCTTCAGATTTAGTCTTGTTTATTTGAATGTTGCTTTGAATCCATTCAAGGAACTGACAGATTGTTGCATTTTTTCTGCTCCTGAACATATTCCTAAAAATCTCCCTAGAGCATCAGAAGCAGAGTTCTTGCAAGTCCAACAGGGATATAGGCAAGAATCTCATCTCATGCTCTTAAATTGAAAAAGTCCCTTGTTCTCCTGAGAAGAATTTCCAGCTACCAGTTTCTGCAGAATTAATGAAGGAACCTAAAAGCATCAGGAGAAAAAAACCATCCTTGTCCAGTGGAGTTAGAGGCGGGTTGTGCAGAAGTGAAAGGGTTGGTATTATGCAGCGTGAAGGGATTTTTTTTTTAGAATAGCAGTAGTGGCTTAAAAGATGGTTGGGTGGGGAGAAACACATTATGCAAAACACGGTGCTATTTGAATTGCTAAGGAAGTACTGTTTCTTAAAAGATTTGCTGGTTGATTTAAGATGGGGCATTTCAGGTGTATTTTTACTGCAAGTTTATGGAAAGATTTTGCTTGTGTCTTGGAGTGGTCCTTATGTCAGGCCTSACACTTTGAGCCTGCATCAGTTCCTGTATAAATTTGCTCTCCTCTCTTTCCCGCTACTCCCATGGTTTTTATTCTGTCCCATCTCACACACTCTGTGCCCACAGCATTGATTCTGCCTGCTCCAGAGAAGCTGGTGCAGGAGCAGCTCTTGCTTTGGTGTCCGTGCTGCATTGACATGCGTGTGTACTGGGGCAATATACAGCTATATACAGTACATATAGCTATAACAGCTGTGTGCTCTTCTCCCAGATGTATTTAAAGTTCCCAATTTATACCCAATAGAAATATGTATAAATTTGTCATTAAAACTGGTTCGGTACAAGGTCTTTTTTGATTTGTTTTAATCTAAATGTTCAGATTATGCTAAAATTCTTGTATATTTTTTGTCTTAATCTTTTATCTTAAAAACAAAATCAGCTTTCCCTCATAATCTTCATGAATGATTGATGTTATTCTGTATAATATAAGATAACCTTTGAGCTTCTTTATGATAAAATAGATTTTCACTTCCTCTTATGCATGAATGCTGCTGTACTGCCTTTATTGTATAGGGTAATTCATTTTCCTCGTTAGGAAGTAGCTGGCTCAAACCAAATGTGTTTTGCATTSTAGAGTTCAGGGTCAGAATAACTTTACACTTTAGACATGAGGACAAAAGAAATAAAAATGCATCTGGAAATCTGGACTTGATTTCTTCACTTTTGACCTTGAGAATACAGTATCCTTTATAAAATTCTGAATATTGGGTATTTTTAATGGAATTGGTAAGAGTTTGGATTTATGGAGCATATTTTCAGATATGCCTGCTCTATTTTAATGGAGGGAGGGGAAAAAGATTTGGTGCTGATCTCAAATATAGGAGAGTTTTGACAATTGCAGTGCTGGGAAGCAGGTTTAGAAAGCTAGAAGGAAAGATGTTTTTGTATTAAAATGTTGTGCTATGATAATCTAATGTTTATCCTATGATCATAGAGAAATGYTTTTATGTTTTATTGTTAAAAACTTTACAGACCTTTTGTGTCATATGGAGAGCTGAGATGAAACTGTAACATGAGGAAGCTGCCTGCAAAAACATTCTGTTGTTTTTTAATTAATGTATTATTTATGGCAGAAATATGATGGCCCAATCAGATATAGATCTAAAAGAAACGGCTCTAAAAGAGGACTTGAAATTTTACTTCATGAACCCTTGTGAAAAATACAGAGCAAGACGTCAAATACCATGGAAACTGGCCTTGCAGATTTTAAAGATACTTATGGTTACTACTCAGGTAATCTTCTATCTGTTTTTACTCTTAGAAAGTGTAGGAATATATAGGATGAGCAGCAGGTCTGTGCTCCAGCCCTTTGCCATCTCTATATGTTCTTTACTGACTTCCCTCTTTGGTCCAGAAAGAAAAAACATCATGAGGAGGGGGAGTGTGTTGAAATAAGACAAGGAACTAAATCATCTGGTCAAATATTACCCCAAATTTTCCAGGAGGCTTTTGTAATTTAATGTTTTAATATGACACTAAAAGAAATTACTCTTCCCTCCCACCGAATCCAGCAGTGTGTTATGAAATGGTCAGGCTTGCTGTATATTCTGTTCCCTACTACGGTCATGGCAATATGGGCTAAGATGCTGTTGTTTCCCAGCACTGTTTTGTGAATGTGGTAGCATTTGAAACGTAGTCACCCACTCTAAATGTGCGCATCCGAGGTGGACAATGCTGCAGTTTGTCTGGTGTCGGTGGAGCCGGCCCATGTGCCCTGGGCTCCCACCTAACGACACACTCAGACTTTGCAGGTGGGCACGAGTGGGGGCAATGAAGAAGAGAGTTTCCGCCTGCTGTTTGTCACCCTGCAGGTGGTTATTTGTCAGTCCACTGAGATAGGCCGGCTGGTGGGTGGGGAAAGGAGATTGGGGCAAAAGTGTAAGAAATTGTTTATCTGCGCCTTTGAAATACAGGACTGTCATGGTGCGCTTTGCACACAGCTGAGTGTGCAAATCCTCAGGATGCGCAGGGTTGTGGGATTTGTGTTGGAGATAGTTGCCGGAACGAAGCCCTGCGTGTCCCTGCGTTGTGTGGGAGGCTCGTGTTCTCCGGAGGCCTCTGGAAGGACGTGGCGGTTCTGGGTTGCCCTGGCAGAGCTCGGCCTGCGCTGCGGCCCGGGCCTGGCCCAGCTCCGGGCCACGGGCGGGCTGCCGTGGCCACCCTGCCTGCACTGAGGGGCCTCAAACAGCACGTTGGAGCCGCTGCTGCTGCCRGCACGGTTGCTGCCCGTAGCAATTTCCCTGCTGGGAATAGGGAGTGAATTAAGTATGTGTGGACACATCCTGGCACAAAACAGGACAGTGCCAGCGCAGCGTAACTCTAGCCAAACGGGTACCTTTACCCCTCGGTACTGTTACAAGCTGAGGGAAGGCTTGCTCTGTCCTCTGAGCAGATGCACCTGCTTTGTGGGTTGTTGCAGTGGCTTCCTAAAGGCGGCCAAGGCAGTAACCTCAAGTGTGAAGTTGTTTTGTTTCCTTACACAGTGCTTAAAGGGTTCAGTGCTCCTCAGCTCTGTCCTTGTTTGGGTGCCAGCCGGGCAGCCAGCAGGGAGAGCAGAACAGCTTCTGAAGGGAGATGTGCTGCTGCTCCACGGGGCAGCCCTCTGCTAGCAAATATATAGCTTCTAGCCAGCATCTCTGCTTCAGAATGAAAGCAACATGGTTGGAGGAGGATGAGGAATAACTTCAGCTTTCCTTTGACTGTTTTTGTCTGATAACAGCCTATTAAGCAGGGCTGTTGTTGCAGCTCCTTTTGGTCTAGTGTAGCAGCTGGGGCATTTGCACCTTCCTGAAAAGCAGAAGTGGCTTCTGGCCTAGCATGGGAATGTGTCCTGCCCAAAGCTGCCCTGAAATCCCCTGCTGAATCCCCCAGGAGAAACCTATTGAGCATGTCCAACTCCTCTGTGTTACAGCTGGGAGACCTTTAATTTGTCTCTATAAATATTAGAGTGCTGCAGATTGATTTGCAGCACTCGGCAATTTTGCAATCACCTGAGGATATACATAGTTGATTTAAAAGATGGGCAGAAGAGTGAAAATTCAGTTCTGAATGAACTCTGCCTATATTCTCTGTGTTCCTGGTGCGTGTATGTGAGTCCAGGCTCTGTGTGTGCTGTTCCTGCTGCTCCCACAGCCCCCTGAACAGGCACCGGGGTCAAGCAGATGACTTGGTTGGGTGCCGTGGGGTCCTACACAGTCCTGCCTTAGCACTGTGTTGTGCTGCAGCCAAAATAGAAGCTGCTGGGGTTTGTCCCATAGCAGCACAGGGTACTTCTGGTTTAACAGGCTGCGCTGTCAGCCTGGCTCTTTTGCCACTTGCATCCTTCACAGGGTTTCTTTTTGTAAATTCCAGTTAATCTTGCTGATCCAGGATGTGTGAAAGGTAGAAAAGATCTACCAGCCTTAGCAACATTGTAGAAACAAACCCCTTTCTAATTATCATTTATTATAGTTGAAGGAAGTGAAGCTGTTTCAAAAATGCTGCTGCTTCAACACTTGTCTTTGTTTCCCTTCTCAGCTTATCTTTTTTGGTTTGAGTAACCAGTTGGTGGTTTCATTCAAGGAGGAGAACACTGTTGCTTTTAAACACCTTTTCCTGAAAGGATATTCTGGTGTTGATGAAGATGACTACAGCTGCAGTGTATATACACAGCAGGATGCTTATGACAGCATTTTTTATGCTATTAATCAGGTAAGTGTGCTTGTTTATAATGAGTCGCATTAAAGCTGACATTACAGCTAGTAAACTGCTGTTCAAATTCTGGTTTTATCTCCTTTTGGATTTTAGTATTGGTATTTCAGTGAATCTGCTGAGGTGGAGTGTTTCAAATTTGTGTACAGATGCGTGTGTTTCTGTGTCTTGGAGACAAATCTAACACACAACTTTTGTTTATTTAGTGCATAGTACCAAAGTTCAGAAAGTTTGAAATTTAGTCGTCTTGTGTGAACTGGAACGAGAACCAGAACTTGTTTAGGTCTGTCTTTAAAGAGTTATGGTCTTGAATATACCTACAAATTCATGGAGATTATCCTTACCACTATACTGAATTGAAGCTTTGTAGTAAGTGCTAAAGGCCTCAAATGGGGAATATGGTGCTCCCAGGAATGCAGGGGCACTGGCCCTGGTTACAGATGGGGAATGAATAAATCTGGTTATGGGTGAGTAAATCTAACATGGAAATCAAGCAGTTCTTATTAATACTGCTACATTAAAGATGTAACTATTAAGTATTGCTCATCACAAGATGAAAGTGTGTGTGAGAAAAATGAGAAATATCCCTTGTTTGAGAATAACGGTGAACAGATCGAGGGGGATGAGCAGAAAGTGGTCTTAAACCACCACCTTTCATTCTGACACTGGGCATCACTTTTGAGGCTTGGTTTAAAGCYGATTTTTCCAACCATCAGTTTTTCCTCCCAAACATCTGGGAATTGCTAAGGTGTGAAGGCCAGGCCTCCCCTCTCAGCACTTGTACAGGGGCTCGTTGCTTCTTGGCCATCTCCTGTGAGCTACAGCAGAGCCACCAGCAGATCAATGGTGCTGCTTCTGCTCTGCTGCACAGAGCCATAATCTGGCTGCTGGTGTGTCCAGTGAGTATTTAGGTCCTCTTCTTCATCTTCCCTTGATCTCTCAATGTTGCTGCTGTTTCTGCTATAACTTGTTCATTTTTTTTCCTCTCTCTTCCTTGCTTTGCTTTCCTTCTTTTATAGGCGCTAAGACTGAGGTGATGCCCAGATAGAAGACAGTAGAGAAGTAATAGCTTTATATCAAGAAAGAACCAATGTGTGATACAGGCATCAGAAAAAGGTCTCTTCATAAATGTCTGTTATATGAATGTAGACATACTCTGAGGAGCTTAAATTCAGGTGATCTGAGTTCTTTAGTGTCTTGTGTAGCTTTTGCAGTTTTTATTGCATGTAAGCCATAAAAATATGTAGCTTTCAGGTGACCTTTTAGTTTTGTGTTACTTTATTAAGGCTTAGTGCTTCTTAGAAGGCTTATTTCAAGATGGGCATCTGGTTATTGTGTTTATTTTTTGATGGTGGTTGTTTTTGGCTTTTTAAAGCATGAAGTATGTGTGTGCACACGCTGTATGTAGTTGACCCCTGGGGCATTTTGATGTTTTTCAGAAAAATGGACAGACTTTTGTACTTTACGGGTACACAGCTAGCACCTACTCCTCTGTGGTCTAATTTGGAAACTTCTATTATAAAAAAGCCATTCARTTGTTATTGCTGTCCCATGTATGGAGTATCAGGATGCTACAGAACTTAACTCCTGCTGGTTGCTCCATCATAAGCTGCTTGGAATTGTATAAATGGGATTTTAACTTGTGTAGTGTGTTACTTGAAAGTGCTGCTTGCTGAACTTCAGCATCCGTGTGTTGCCGTCAGGAGGGCAGAGTCTCTAAGTTTAAGTTTGTTTAGCAGAACAGCTGCTAAATGCAGTGATCTAGTGCATTCCTTAGTGGGAAATTGTGACTAACTGTTGTCTCTGTCCACTTGGCATGCCCTAGTCGGGCTTGGCTTTAGTTTATTTTAAGATGATTTCTTTGCAGGATGCTGATGCAGGGGTCACCTCTGTAGCTACCTGTGTTAGTGAGCTCAGCTGTGGGGCTCGAAAGGCAGCACTGTGAGGCAGAGCTGGGCCTGGGGCTGTGTAGGTGTCCGTTGCAGCAGCTTTTGGATGTGGGGTGGGCAGCAGGTAACAGCTGCCTGCTGTTTGTGCCAGTGTAGGGAGCCTAATGTGAGAGACTGATGCAGATAATGCCCATAGGAAGSGGGGGAAAAAGGTAATAGGAGGTCATTAATAACCAAGTTGGTGTCTAAGGGAGAGAAGGTTCAATCCCTACCAATGTCAGCTGAACAACAAGTTTATTAAGAAATGGGAAGCCCTGCCTAACTACTCTGATGTCTAACTAAGCTGATGTTTATTAACTCAGGCTCCTGTGAAATACTCCCTAGAAGGATAAGTATTTCCAGCAGAGGTGAACGATGAGCGTTGCCCTGAGCTGGTTTGTCAGGAGAGGTATTGATAAAAATTAATGAATTACTGGATGATTATGCAATCTTCCCTAGAGGGCCTGTGGTCTAAGAAGCTTCTCTTGGGCAATGGTAGGTGGTGTTAAGCTGAGCTGGCAAATTCCTGCTTTCCTGCTTAGTCCTAGTTGTGCTCCACTGTTGGTGAGTCGAGAACTGGAAGAAGTGCTGTGCTCCCAGCTGTTTGCTTCCGTTGTGCAAGCCTGGGAGGCAATTCCAAGGGCAGATAATGTAGCTGGCTCTGGCTTGTCCATAGAGTAAGGGAACAAAGTGTCTTCCTCCCAGACAAGCTTTCTGTTGCCTCCCTGCTTGTGTAGAGATGTCAGGTTAAGCTGCTTGCTCCCTGCATGGTCCTTGGATGCTTTGCTGCCTTGTAGCCACACAAGGAGCAGCTTGGGGAGGGATTAGTGAGGAAAAAGAGGAGAAATGTTTGAAYTATTCATTAGTCTTTTCATGCCTTAAGATCAAGTCTGAAAAGATTATTAAAGTTTTAAAATTTCTTCTTAGTATCATGGGTTTTTTTTAACTGGCCGTCCTACTGATGTCTGAGTTCAGGATAGGAAAGGGTCTTAAAGTTGCCTAAGATTTTTTTTAAAAAATTTAAATTAAGATGCTGTATTTTAATCAGATGATGTTTAAGTTTCAAATGGTTAAAAAAAAAATGAATACATAAGAGATCCGTGGAGTCTGAATGTTTTCAGTGGCTGCACTGGGGTCAACACCTGTCTAAGGGAATTGCCTCTTGCTGGAGGGCTCCTGGTCACTGTCCAAGCAGGATGCTGAGGATGGTCAGCAGCCACCTTAGCTGCCCATTAGATATCCACAATCAATTTGCAGGCTTTATGGGAAAGGGAAGGTTTGTTGGCTTTGAGTTCTTGGGTAAAAGTCATATTAATATGAGTTTTGTTCAGCTTACAAGCTATTATGTCATGTGCAAAAGACCTAGGGCAGATGGACAGGGAATAGGAGTGAGACCCCGRTTTCTCCTCAGACTGATCTCTTGATAACTTCTGGTTCTGTTTTGCTTTTAAACTAGTACAGACAACTAAAGAACATTTCCCTTGGGACACTTGGTTATGAACAAGATGAAGAKGAAGGATCAGGTTTAAAAATCTGTAAACAGCAGTACAAGAAAGGCACAATGCTTCCTTCCAATGATACACTGAACATTGATGTTGCTACTGAAACAGGTATGGATTTTTTGTGCTTAAACCACAAACTTCTTGCCATGATTTGTCTACATTGTAATGGGAAATCAGGGCTTTTTAATAWTAAAYTTTTGCATGTCAGTCACTGGAAAACTAACATYCTTGTTGCTGTTTCTTCCCCCTTCYCCCTGCCCGTCCTTTATARTATTTGTTCAGACATTAAATTATTTTGCAGYTAATAGGAAGAAATTTTCTCTGTACTTTTTTTCATTTCAACTGCCATTAGCTTTTTCAGGGTGCAGAAGGTTCAAATACAGACTTCTCAATGCTGTTAAGACTGCAGCTTGAGTGCACATCGTTAGCACTGCTCTAGRCAGAGTCTCTGGCTTCTCCAGAGTTACTCCATGCAGCTGCTTCTGGTCCTGCTAGCTGGGCTSTGCATGAAGAGTCTTGTGCAAACTGAATATGATGCTCGACTGTGGCTTGTGCTTGCATCTGAATACTTCAATTTTATGCTGATTTCTATGTGTAATTTTTAAAACTGCAGCTTTTCTCCTTTTCTCCCCAGAATGTATCCTTTTAAAGTCAAAGGAGCTAGTCAATAAGAAGGCTGAAAAGAAGCTGAACTCCTCATTTTTCAATCTTGAATTTTACAGGTAAAGCTTTGGSGTGGGAAGGTAGAATACATTCTGTTATATTTTTCTTTAATTTCTCCTTTCATATGAATATTCTGAGTTATGTTCTGTGTGCTCTGTGCTTGTATTTTTGATTTTTTTATATATTTATATACTTCTCTTAAACATTCAGGCTTATACAAGTTGAAATCTCTTTCAAGCTAAAAGGCATTGCTCTACAGACAATCCATGCCCGTGAATTGCCTGACTGCTATGCATTTCAAAATACTGTAAGTGAATATTGAGCATAGTTGACATTAAATTTTTCACACAGTATAGTTACAAGGGTTGCTTATATCCTTATATCCAGACTGCATGGAAAAACAGTTGGGTATGTCCTGGCCTGTGAGGAAACTGCCATATGTTTTAACCCCTTTCCCAAAGGCAGCTGAAGCTCCTAAGCAATTATATTGCCCTGATACCATGTCATTTTGTAACCTGTTCCAGCTGATAACCTCATAATATGAGAAGGGGGTAAATGTTGCCCAGTTAGCAAAGTTAATTTTGAGGTCTGACTTCTTAGAAGGTTGCTATTTAACGCTGTTCATTTTGTGCTCCTGAGTGCTCTGTATATGCTGCCATTTATGCTTTCTGGAAAGCCTATCTAATAATGCTAACACATAAATACAGACCAAGATTTATTTTATGGAATATATTTTGCTAGTCTTGTTTCTGATTTACCTTTATTTTCCCTTTATTTTCAGATCACGTTCAATAATAGAGCCCACAGTGGAAAAATAAAAATTTATTTTGATAGCGATACTGACATCCAAGAATGCAAAGACTGGCATGTATCTGGTTCTAGTAAGTACTCTGTGTGTTTGCATGATGGAAGTATTACACATTTCCTCCTTCCATTTCTCTTGGYCCATAATCGATTAAGAAGATATTCCCTGTCTTCTCTACTATTTTAAAGCACAATAATCTTGTCTAATGCAACTCATTGCATCTTTGTAAATAGTAATCAGGAATCAATTCCTTTCTGAAGAGCGTATTTTATTGGCATTGTGTGCATGTTGGTAACTTTTTGCAGCTGTCTCTTAACTAACTGTTCTTTAGTAGTTTATATGCATATAATGACCTGCTGTGGTGGCAGGAGCATATAACTTTCTTATTAAGGTGAATTAAAGAGTAGTTAAACCAMTTAGAAATTAGTTTTTAACTATATAAAGAAATATTATGCTGTGAAAGTTACAGGAACAATTGCTAGGTATTTTCTTTGGCTTCTTCCTATTTTGAAAAGTTGTGATCCTTGATTTACATGATTGCTTCTAGATCTTTGTGGGGAAAAACAAGAGTATGGTGCAATTTCTGACTGCAGGTGAGGGAGCAAGAAATCTAGTCTCGTGTGTAGAAAGTTGTGTAGTGGTTGTGTGTGTGATTAGTGTGTGTGTTTGTGTGTGAGTTTAACTACGTTGAAATGAACCAAATCCTGTGTTTCTTTTATTCCATGCAGTTGTAGTACTGCTCGAGCACAGGTGGATAGATGGGCTTAGTGGCAAAATGAGAGGCTTSCATCAGTGTGCTTGTATTTCGAGGAACTTCAAATCTGCATTTAATGATTGTGGCACAGTCTGTGTTGTCCTTTTGGGACATAATTCTCTGTTTAGCTGTGCTGGAGACATGCTTGCAAAAAGCTTTCTCTTGTTGCTGTTTTGTGTGTGTGTGTGTGTGTGTGTGTATATGTATGTGTGCATCTCCCATCTCTTAAAGGGGGAGAGAGACTTAAGGGAAAAAACATGACAATTTGTAAAAGTGTCAATGCTTACGATAAATGTGTTCGCAAGGAGATATGAACGGACTAATTCTTTCTTTTCTGTGACTTACAGTTCTGCAGAAAAACACTCAGTATGTTCTGGTTTTTGATGGATTTGTCATTATAAGCTGCCTTGCTTCTCTTATCCTCTGCACCCGATCCATTATTCTTGCCTTGAGATTGCAAAAGGTAAGTATGCTGTTCATGATCTCCATGCTGTGTCTCTGCTGTCATGTCTGATGCTAGTTTTGTGAAGTGTTAGTTATGAAGTGTCAGTGCATCTGTGCTCCAAGAAAATATATCTGATATATCTAAGCCACTAACATAATTTTATTTCCACTTGTGTAGTCCTGTAGTAAGTATCCTGATGCATGTGTTAAGGGCAAAACTGGGAGGGACTGATTTAATTTTGTAGGCTATCTTGTTTTAAAAAAAAAAAACCCCACAAATCTTTGTGCCGCTATCAGCACAGTTTTACACTTTCCAAAAGAATACAAATTCTTTCTGCCTTGGCTTCAAAGTAGAACACCTATACAAGCCATCCTGTGAATTAATGCTTTAATGAGTTGGCTTTCAAAGCCAACTGTAACTTGAGAAGTAGACTGTAGGCTATACCACCTTAAATTTGCTAGTTTTCCTGGTGTTCCTGGGGCTGGAAACACCCTTTTCAGTTTTCTCTCTTTACAATTCTTGACCATAGTCTGCTCTCAACTTTTCCCACTTGCCCTCCCCTGCATTCTCAGAGACCAACTCTGGCTTCTTCTCAAGCTCATGTAAGCAGACCCAACTCTTCCCTTCTGAAGAAAGCAATGCAGAAACATGAGCTGGCCCTGCACTGGGTGCTTCTGTTCGTTTGATTTGTGCACTGTAAAGCTGCTGGCTTGGAAGAGTTCCCAGGTGTCCAGAGCCTGGTTGATATTTCACACTTCCTTGCACACCAGCCCAGAGTTGCTGCATAATTTGATGCCATTAATTATGATGTGCTTGTGGATAAAGGAGTTGGAGAAAGAGAGGGCAGGATATGCAGCATATGAAAGTGAAGGTAGCTGCTTATCTAATCCAATATATCCTCTTTGGAACTTGTAAACAAGACAAAGGTGACCAGGGCACAGCTCAGCAAAGGTATTGCAGGGTGCTGTCAGGAACTGGGACAGCGACATTTATTCATGAGCAGAGAGAACAAGTGAAAAGAGATCAGCAGTGCTGGGTTCGGGAGGCAGAATTGCTGCCTCTGGTGGAAACATGAGCCCTTCACAGGTGGTTATATTTGAACTGGTTACCAGTTTTTCTGATTCTTTCACTGCCTCAGCTGAGTCGCTCTGCTCTTTTGTGGGTGACCAGAAAGCTCTTCTGAAGGGCTTGGAAAGGAGATATAACAAGTCCTGCATGCTTAGGTTCTTGGGGGTCATGTATGTTTATTTTGTGAAAAGCTAACTTCAGTGACCTAATCCTGTCTTAAGAACTTTTCCTATATATTTTTTTCCTGTTGCTAACGATTTTTAGGCTATTATTTCAGCAAATACTATAGGAAAAGTGGGCAAGTGAAATTCAAGCTTTTGACAGCACTGGGGCATCTGTGCATATATTTCWCCTAAGGGGACCTGTAACTAAACATCTAACTGCTTCTTTGCAGAGATTTGTGAATTTCTTCCTGGAGAAATACAAACGTCATGTCTGTAATGCGGATCGCCTAGAGTTCATAAATGGATGGTATGTCCTGGTAATCATCAGTGATATGATGACTATCATTGGATCAATCTTAAARATGGAAATAAAAGCCAAGGTGAGAGTTTAATCCTTCAGATAAAATACTGGTGATTTTGCAGCCAGCTATAACAATTTCCAACTATGGAAAATGTGATTGAGCTATTTAAGTCACTAATCACTTTTTTTACTTTTGCCACTTCCTTTCCCCTCATGTAGTTGTCCACAGTAGCGGAATATAAGCAGTTGGATGAGGTTTTGTGTTTGCTTGTTCCTGCTTGAGATTGTTACATGTTTTGAATTGAGCTCTTAAGCTTATTCTCTTGTGGGCACTAATGCTCTTCTAAGCGCTGATGGATGCTTACAGCAATCAAAGAGGACATGTGAGCATGACCTATTAAAACAAACACTGTGGTGTGCAACTTTAGTAATTGGCTTTATTTCCCTTCCCCAAACACTTGAAATAAGACCCTGGAAACTAATTAAATGTCTTATTTCTATAGTGTTAAGCCCCTTAATCCCTGGTTTAGAATTTGTAAATAGACAGTGCTGTAGATACCGTACTAAGACAGTCCTTAATTAAAAGCTTTAGGTTATGTTAATTTATGTTAATAATTAAGAAGTAATAGTACATATTGTACAAAGAAATTGAGTCATTACGCTGGGTAAAAGAGGGCTCTGGGCAGCTTRTGAGGCTGCAAACATTGCGATTCTGGCCTGCTTGCCTGCCTGTCCAGACTGAGGGCACAGCCAGTGTCAGCGGCTGGTCCTTGACCTTCTAGCCTGGACTTGCTGAAATCAATGTGTTTTGTCCACGTGTGTCAGCAGTTCATGTGTTCAAAAGCCCTGTGTTCTGGGAAGAGCAGAGCAGCAAATGTGTTGCTTCTGCTTCATGTGTAGCAATGCTTAAAGGGCATAGCTGGAGTGGCCTTCAAGTGAAACAGCTGGGAATATCCAGTTGTATGGTGAAGTGGGGGACGGGACAGAAAGTCTGGAAGATATTTCATGCTGATGGTGACATGTTTTCTGCTGAATCAAAAGGCAGGTAGAATTGGTTCTCAACTGCCCTGGTAGCAGCAAAGGTGTCCAGAATTCAAGCAGCTAGCAACCTGTTCAAAACTGCCCGTGTTTGTAGCACAGACAGGCCTACAGTCATGAAGTTTAAATGATTATTTGTTTTAACAGTGGAAAAAATATGGGAGCAAATGTTAACGTTTTAGAATGGAAAATTTGGAGATATTCAACTTTGCTTTGGTTACAGTATACTTTTAAAGACTAGGCTTTTATGTAGTAAAGATTTACTTTTACTATAGTAAAGACTATACTTTTATGAAGACTAGGCTTCATAAAAGTCTTGTTCAAGAATGTCAGCATAACTGTACTTGTGAGCTACTGCTTTTGAGTTGTCTCTAACTGCAGTTTGTGCTGCTCTGATTTTTGTGATAAAGAATGTCACTTCAGTATTGAACTGTGCATTTTCTGAAGAGACACACGCATAGTTTTCAAGCTGACATACCTGCCACTGACCTTGACCACCCGCTCTTTTTGCATCCCTCAGAATCTCACCAGCTATGATGTCTGCAGCATTTTACTTGGAACATCAACTTTGTTTGTCTGGGTTGGAGTCATCCGATACTTGGGATATTTTCAAACCTACAACGTAAGCCTGGAATTGAATATTCGACACATTTAGGTCTGTCACTTATTCAGATCTCTTGTAATATATGTGACTTCCTTTCTGCCCTGGCTTACAGGTACTCATTTTAACTATGCAAGCGTCACTGCCCAAGGTTCTAAGGTTTTGTTGTTGTGCTGGGATGATTTATCTTGGCTATACTTTCTGTGGCTGGATTGTGTTGGGACCTTATCATGAAAAGGTATGTCAGCTGTTATTGTTCTGTTTTTTTTTCCTCTCCTTATTCTACTGAATTGTCACCACAAACACGAGGCTCTGTTTGCRAGTGCCTGGTTGGTTTATCCAGGCAGTGTCCAGTGCTGGGAAAGGCACTGACGGTGCGTAGGAGCATTCCCTCCTGCCCTCTTCTGGCAGTCCTCATGCAGCTGGATGCYGAAGCATTTGTTACTGTTTCAGGGTATCTTGTTGGCTTTTGTTCTCCAAATCTGTCCCTTAACTTTAACTGTTATCTGTTGACCCACATATGGGTGAATAAGTGACTTTAACCTCCAAAAGTATGCCAGCATGTCCCTCTTCCTACTTGAATTCTGGCTGCAGTACTAAAGCCTTTTAAGTTCCCAGCTGCAGGCAGAAAAAGCAATTAACTTCAGTTTCAAAGCTAGATACCTTTTTTTTTTCTGAATTGCTTCCTTTGTTGATTTATATGGCAGTAGGAGAGGGGAGAGGCAAATTCTCAAACTGGTAAATTCTGCATGTCCGTTAAAAAACAACAAATCTGTCAGTTCATTCTTGATTTCTGATAATGCGTTGTATGTATTTAACAAAGATTCATGTCATAGTGCTTGTTTCAGCTTCTTCTATGCGCAGAATGTTTCTCCTGACCTAMTGCACATCTCAAGAAACTTCGGTATTTTGCCTACGTACATTTTAAATTGATGACAGTAAGTCTTTCTAGAGGTGTCACTCTCTGCTGCAGGATCTTGGTAATACCAGAGGGTCAATTGCTTATAGCAGGCACAGGATAAATATTGCTTTCCTGGCTTTTCGACAGCAAATATTTTAATTTCYTGTGTAAAAGAACTTGTAGCCCCCGATATGCCTGTCTGTGAAGAAGTTAACGCTTGCTAAACATCACAGCTCAGCGTTTTTCAGCGTTTTTGCCCCGCCGCTCACCCAGTTCTCCTGCCTCCGACCTGTTCTCCCGTAGCCCGCTGGACGGCAGTGCGGCTCCGCAGGCCGCGCTCAGCCCGGGCAGCGCTCGCAGGCTGCCTCGGCTGCAGCCTCTCCCTTGGTGCYGCTGCTGGGAGCTTTCCCCTGCTCCTGTGCACATGGAGAGGAGCATGGTGCATTTGCTCAAAAATCCTGGAAGTTTCGTTAAGGCAAATGTATTGTCCTTTCCTCTGCTATAGGTCAGAAGGAATAGAAATCCTGCTTTCAGTCTTCTGGCAATTGGAGGCCCTATATATTTTTAATAGCACTATCTTCCTTCCCTTTAATCAAGGTAGGGGTGATAATTCATGTTTTAATAATTATTTATACTCAATATTTTCTAGTTTGAAGATCTGAACACAGTGGCTGAGTGTCTGTTTTCTTTGGTCAATGGCGATGATATGTTTGCAACATTTGCCCAAATCCAGCAGAAGAGCATGTTGGTGTGGCTGTTCAGTCGCTTGTATCTGTACTCCTTCATTAGTCTGTTCATATACATGATCCTCAGCCTTTTCATTGCACTCATTACTGACTCCTATGATACCATAAAGGTAAATAATTTTTCTTCCCATATATTTATTCTGATCAGTTCTGCATTCATAATGTCTAGCATTAATTATGATAAACACTGAGCGTATTAAAATCTATCAGTTTAAAATTTGGGGAAGAAATTGGGTTGGGAAAGGGTTACTGTGCAGTCATCTAAATGACTGTAGCCAATAATCAGTCTGTGTCCCTGTTCTGTATTTTCTACTGCTTGACCTTTTTAAAAAGTAATAGCTAATGAAAACATTACCTAATAGCTATGGGAGGATAGGTAAAAGTCAGATACAGTTGCAYAGAGGTAGGTCAGTCTTATCTGGAGTGAATGTCTTCTTATAGCACCAGAGGCTGAGGCAGAGAAGTTTGTCATCGTCTCTGAGAAGAACTGCTTGGCAGCTATGTGGTTCATAACTCAACTTTGCTTAGCTGTCTAAATTTGCTTAATGTGTCACTGGGAAATGCGTGATTACTATGCATTTTTTTCTCAAAAAAAGCCTACTAGTAGGCTATTAATGGTGATTCGTTTCTTATGTTGTAAATAAGTTGTTTTGTTTTTCAGAAATATCAACAAAGTGGATTTCCAGTAACAGATCTACATGAATTTCTAAAAGAGTGTGGCAGCGTTGGCTATAGAAAAGAACAACCTTCTGTGCCATTCATCTGCTGCTGTAGACGGTCAGTATTTAGTGGGTGTTTATTCTCAAAGCTTATCAATTTACTTTTTAATGTGATGTGCTGTTTCACAAACGTTGGAAAGCACAGAACTCTGCTTTTGTGAAATGCAGCTTTCTACTTTTGATGTAGGGAGACAGGAATCTCCTAGTCAGGAAGGAGTAAGTGAGAGGATGTTGGGTGGGTATTGCAACATTTGCTGTGGGCATTTGGAAGCTGAGTAGATGATGGGAGCCCCAGCCAGGTTCATCTTCATGTTTCATACTCAAGTCAGGCCTGCAGCCTGAGAAGTTCTTATCTGCTTGAGTATAATAAGCTTTAATATTCTGCTTGTGTATCAAGAGTGGAAGCCTGGAGCTGGTGCGAAAATCTGGGGGTTTCCTACTGTAGCAGTTTCTACTTGATTGTCACAGTGTAGTTGTGAAAATTGAAAACTGAAATTAGAGGGGGGGGAAAAAAAACAAAATGAAAGAATTTAGAAATAAATATGGTATATGCAAATATTCCTATTRTATTTCCTACTGAATGAGAAGTTCTGAAACTTTCTTTTACAGACAACAGAGTGATGACAACTTGATACTYATTAATTGATCATGGACTGCTATAATAGTTTACTGCTATAATATGAAAAGAAAAAAAAAAGAAAACATGTGTCTGGAGAATAATTCTCCAAATGGCAATGAAACCAACTGCTGGACCTGCCCCCATCTGGACATACTAACCCTACTGAAGTGCTGGGGAAGAAAAGCTGCTATGTGACATAAGCTGGCTGTATGCAGCGAGAGCCCAGAAGCTCTCTGTGTGTGGAGGAAGATTGTTAAGAACTTAGTATTCTTTCCCCAAGTTCAGTTATGTCCAAGAGGGCTGATTCATGAGAAGTATCTGGAGGAGTTTTGTTTGCTAATCACCTCCAGGAAGGAGGAGAGTGGTCCTGAAGCAACTGCTGTTGTTGATGAGGAAAAGAAATATATTAAATGACACTTCAAAATAATTGCACATTTTAAAAGAAGACTTTTACATCTCTCAGGCACAAAGAGACGAATTTTTCACTTCACTTACCGAAGCAATGCATTCTCAGTGAGACTGTAATTTCTGCTTGGCACAATTCATTTCCTTGAAATAAATTTATATAAAACTACAGAGCTCCATGAAAGTACAAAACAGTTGCTGTTTTCCCTTTTGTATCCTGTTTTTTAACACAAGCCACTGAGTTCACAATCTTTTAATAGTTTYACTAAAAACAAAAGCATGTATTTTATCTTGAATCTTCTGTAATACCCMTAATACTTGATGTAAAAAGCACCCAGATGAAACATCATACATTAGCTATAGGTAAATACTTCACTGTGTGGTTGGAAACTTTCATGGCAGGCGTCATGTGAAGGATGAAGTGAAGGATGAAGCCTGAGAATATTTTGTTTTATTTGTTTGGTTGCTTTTTCAAGTGCCATAACCTGGAGGCCAAATTTGGGCATTTATTTAATTGCTTCTATTTTAAGTTAACAGAAGGTTAATGGAAGAAAACAGAACCACTGAGCTGGGCTTATGCCTTGTTCAGGCTCTTGGTTTGGTCAATTTCTTGATGTAGTTGCAGATCACYATCCTAAAGAATTTTTTTGTTTGTTTTTCTCCCTCCCTTCTGCCTTTTACGGCACAAAAGTCGGAATACAAATGTAATCTCAAATGTTCTTGAATGAGTAAAGCTCTTGAATGAGCCAAGTGTGGCTCACTTGGAGGTAAAAAGGGAAGGATGCAGCCAAGTGTTGTACAGGATCCTGACTTACAGCAGTTCTTACAGGAGCCATCCTTAAATTACTGCCTGCTGCTTTTTCCTTAGACCTTTCTTGCATCTCTGCAAGGCCTGGTGAATGTTGCACCTCTGTCCGCAAAGTGAGTTGAGGTGAGGCTCTTGCCAGGTCCCCGGGGGCAGCAGCGGCTGCTTCCCTGCAGGAGCAGTGCTCCTGGATGTGCCCCTGCAATGCCCTCTGGGATGTGCTGGATTCTCCAGGCTCCTGGGAGAGACAGGGCATTAGGACTGCATCTGGAGCACTGCGTGCAGTGCTGGGCTCCCCAGTACAAGAGGGATGTGGAGCTGCTGGAGAGAGTCCAGCACAGGGCTACSAGGATGATCAGGGGCCTGGAAYATCTGCCCYGTGAGCAAAGGCTGAGGGAGCTGGGCCTGTTCAGCCTGGAGAAGAGGAGGCTGAGGGGGGACCTGATCAGCGTGTATAAATACCTCAAGGGAGGCAGTGAGGAGGAGGGGGCGGCCTCTTTTCAGTGGTGGCCAGCGGTAGGACTAGAAGAAACGGCCACAAAATGAATCAGCAAAAGTGCCACAGGAACTTAAGGAAAAAAATCTTGACAGTGAGAGTGGCAGAGCCCTGGACCAGGCTGGCCAGAGAGGTTGTGGAGTCTCCTTCTCCGAAGGTCTTCAAAACCCACTTGGATGCAGCCCTGTGCCATGTGCTCTAGGTGACCTGCATGTGCAAGGAGGGGTTTAGACTAGATGATCTCTCAAGGTTCCTTCCAACCTTAACCRTTCTGTGATTAGTGACCTGAAGGTGGCATTAAGGAAGGCAGTGCAATTCTGACATGTACCCTGGCTAGAATAGATTAGAGCTATCCCTGTGTACCAGTTACTGAAGGCAAGTGTTGTCACCTAAACCGAACTGAAGTGATGCTAAAAATCTTAGCTCTGTTCTGGGACCTAATAACATCTTAATTCTGCTGTGCTTGTGTGAGTGCCTTCTTTGCCATGTGTCACTTTCTTATTTTGTAGTTCTCTTTTCTGCCCTGCCTGGCCTGGCTTATGCAGGTTGTCTGTCTCTGTGCTGTGGCTTCTTGTTATTGTCAGGCTCTCRTCATCAGTATAAAATCTGAGTGTAAGTGAGAGGATAAAGTGTAGATCCCTGAAACGCTATGAGAGTAGAGGACAAATCCTTTTACATGGACAGCTCATGTTATGTTGGAAGCTAAGATCTTCTGTACCATGCCCCACTATGTGTCTCAGTATGTGTTGCCCTTGGAGGGCATACAGATACAGATAGGTACCTCAGTACCCTGGCTCAGGTGTGAGCCCTGCATCTCTTGCAGCCCACAGGATGTCATTATTGCCCGTGTCTTCTGGACTGCACGTGCCAGACTGAAGCAGGGCAAGCTCTTAGACTTGGATTTACTTAGTGATTTTTTGCAGTGCTGGCAGAGGTAGGATAGCACACTGTGAATGTATGAAGACAGTAGTTCTGGAGCGCACAAGCTCATGGCTGCTTTCTTTGGGCCGGAAAGCGATCCAAGTGCGTGTGTAATGTGGGGAGAAAGGCTGGAGGCCAATGGGCATTGCTGTGGTTAGAGCTCAGCAGTAGTCTGGTGCCACCAAGAATTGTTTGTTCACGTGTTGGGGCTGTGTGTCTGTCACGCAGACAAAGCCCTCTCTCAGTCTCCTTCCTTCCTTTATCAATAGCCTGGTGGTTCTTATGCAGATTTGATTTTCACTGAGCACAAGTGCACTTCAGCATGTTTCCCCATGTATTATCCAGGCTGGATATGTTCCTGGCCAGAGGCAGGATACCAGGGCAAAGCAAWCCCTATGGCTGTGCTGAAAGCAGAGCTGCGCTTCCTCTGCCTCGTGGGAAGCAACTGCAGCTGAAACCGAGCTTTCTTCTGAGCAACTGGCAGCTTGGCCTTTAGCTGTTGGAGATGTCAACAGGAAATGCTGTAGTAAACGTGCATGTGTGTGTATCTGTCCTAGTGTGTGCTTGCCATGAGAGAATGTTTGTTGTACAGAACAAGAACAGTACCAGTTACTCATTGAACTAATGGAATGATTACATGAATGCTGAGAAGCATAAAAAGTAGTTATTTTATGAGGGACTTTGAATCTTCCTATGCATTCCCCCCTGCACCCTTTACTCTGAGCTGCCACGTGCCTGTCCAGGCAGGGATAGTCGGCAAAATCCACACTCGGGGCTGCCGTGGATGTGCACAGAGGTGTGAGGCTGCCGTGGTGCTTGGGTGCTTGTTACCATCTTAGCTCACCTCTGTTGTGCTGCCAAGCTACGGCGTGCCCTGACTGGRCACTGTGGATATTTAAAAGGTCTTGCTGGGATAGACCGTGCCCCTCTCTAGGTAAGAGCTGTCCCTGGTGTYTGCGATACCCCATTGCTCTATGAAGCCATACACATTGAGGTATGTTCCATCCGTGTGTGGGTCTTCAGAGGGCTCTTAAGGCTACAACAGGAGTGCTTAAAGGAGGTGGAATGGAGCATTTTCTGTATCAGAAATTACTTGTCAACTTATTCACCGAAAAACAAAAGATGAAGAGACGCCTGTGCTTCACTSTGCTCCAGACTGCCTTCAAAGGATCCGATGATTTCTCAGGTACGTTAACTGTGGGATCTTTTACATGCTTGTGAGTGAACACTTTCCTTTTTGTAAAGACTTTCTCTGTATTTTAGCAATAGCTTGTGAYAGGCTCCTCACCCTCAGGTCTAGCAACTGTATTGCCCAAAACATGCGAGGAACATCCTGTTCCCACCATGAGGAGTCCCCGGTTCTGACTCAGGCTACTTCTTTCCTGTTAAATGGGATGTTGACTGTGATCGSCCAAAGCCACAGCTTGGATAAATATTTGTTTGTGAAAGGATCCTCAGGGAAAACAGGGAAGCATCATCCTAAGGAATGTAGAAAAATACCCATCATTGCATATTAGACAATTTCTGTAATGGAATCAGCCTTTTTGTCCAATATTGATTTTCCTTCTTCGTAATTACTGTTATTAACATATGAGCTACATCCTGCCTGATTACTGCATGAGCCCTACCGTATTAAAGCAGCTCACTAATGTATTGAAACCAATTTGTGTCTTCACCATCTGTCTCTGTTAGAAGGAAAATGGAATTGTTCTTCATCAATCAGAGCTAGTTGCTAAAGCCYGTTATTGGCTCCCTATCCCTTGGAGGTTAAACTTGGCAGGGAATCTGGCATGTGTTAACTCTTAATTCTGTATATTAATACAGACTTTGATGGAGTAGCTGCTGATAGGGGATAGTGCTCTGGGTGCTGGGGAGGGATGCATGGTTCCAGAGGCAGTGCTGGGCCAAACCCATCTGCTGTGCCCTGAAAAAAGGGGCTGTTGCTTTCAGTTGTCTTGTTTCCTGGGAGTAATAAATTCTTGCTTGTTGCTTTTAGGACCTCTCTGACACAGGAGAGAAATGGATGGAGAGGCAGCGGGAAGGCAGCCGTGTATTTGGAGGTGAGCATGGGAATGAGCGGATGGGATGGGAGGACACTGCTGAAGCAGAGGGTTGTGTTTCATGTGTGCGGTTAGTAGCGTGCGGGRCTCCCTGTAATCTCTGTAACGTTCCTGCTTTGTGCCGTAGTCGTCACCAGGGCTTCTGAGGAGAGAGGCCTTCAGCTGCGCTCGTGTGAGTAGCTTGGTGCACCTCACATTTCCACTGGTCTGAGTAAATGAAGGTGTCCTGATCCCCGGGTAATGTTGGTCCTGCACCATGTTCCCCACTTAAGTTTGGAGGGCAATGCTCTGTGCTATTGGGCCCTGCTGTTCAGAGCTGTTGGGAGCCTCCAGGTTTCCGTATCAAACTGGATTATGCTGTGTTTAAAGGAAGCTACATGTGGTGCTAGGAGAAGCGGCAAGCGGCCTGTGCTGCGCTCAGTGTGCTCCAAATGCGCTTCCTAAGCTCTCGCTGAGTTTTGCCTTTGTTTCTTCCAAACCACGGACCGTGCTTATTTCCAGGGTCATCCTTAGGGCCTTTGCAGGAAGCAGAGCCCTTTCCACTTGTGCCACTCGGTGCTTTAAAGGCTCATGTGCCTGGGCATTACCCACACCTGGGGCTGGGGCGGGGGGCAGGTACACTGGGAAGTTCACCAGGAAAAAAGCTGTTTCTTGCTCCATGCCCGTTTCCATGGATTGGCGTGTTCCCGTGCGGACTCCTGGTGCCCCGGGGCGCTGCCTGCGGGCGCGGGGTCTGGGGGAAGAGCCGGGCGCGCGTTGGGTCGGGCCGGCCGCGGTGCGGTGCGTTCCGCGCGGCTCGGCTCGGCTCGGCTCCGGTGCGGTGCCCTCGGCGCCGCAGGGGTTAAG